GTTTAAGTATGTGTTTTAAGAAAGAAAAACAGTTCACTGACAGGTATCACGCTTAGTTAAACAGCAAAGTCCATGGCTCTTTTCTCTCTTTAAAATGTCAGCCTATACATCAGATAATTAATATGAACCCTGATGGAACTAATTCTTGCTGCAGTTTCTATTATTCCAATTATTGTTTATTGGCAGTTATTAATCCAATTCTCAACTGCAAAATGAAGTATTCATTATTTATTATTAATACTGCATTGTTTGCTAATTCTGAAAAAGTCAGCTAAATGGCTCTAGAGAATGTAAAATACTGTCGGGGAATGTTATTTTCAGGTATCTTTCATTTTACAACTTTCTACAATTCTTTATTTTAAGTGATTTTTTTTGCCATCTTAGCATTTAATGAGACCTCAGAGGTTTTCTTCCCACTATTATTTGTTTGAGAATATTACAGAAATTCTTTTCAGACAATGACAAACTCACCAACTAAACCTGCTCCTCCTCCTGGGCCTTTTACAAGGATGTGATACATAGAAATTTGTTCTGCTTTTCATAGCTCTGAACTAAATTTCACTTGCTAATTGCTGCTGGTCAAAGGGACAATTTGAACATTATTTCAAAACCTGAGAAAACTCACATTCCCCCCCTCCCTGCCAAAAACAAATATGAATAAAAATTCCAGATGCTTCAGTCACATTTTTGAAAAGATCAAACTATTTTTTAAAAACGTATTTCATGCCAGGTTCTTTGTTGACCAAATTTATAGAAACAACTATCATCTTAACTAATATTCCTGAAATGAAACACTGAATATATGAAAGTTGATTTAAAATATTGCTGAGTATAAAGTAGTTTTATGGCTAGGGAATTTATGATGCAATTTAATCTCCATACAAGCAAAAATACTAATTCAATAATATTTAAAGGCTTACGCTTCAAAGTGACATTGTACTCATAAATCAAGCACAATATTTTTTCATGAAAATACATTACCTGAGAAAATGAAAATGAAATTAAGTACAGATTTCTTTTGAAGACATGGACTTAACCGTTGCAGACAGAATTCTTTCAAAGTGGTTTCAGAGACTAGGATAAAGATCCCCCCTGTCCCCGCCATACAGTGGCCAATTGTATATTGCCAGAAAAGGAACACATAACTGAAACAAATGAAAGGACATGGAGATTTGCATTCATATATAGAATTATGCAGCTAGACAACAACTTGCTGTGTGGGGTTTTGTGCAAATTAGGATGTATAGTTATTTGCAATTAAAAAGCATGCACCTAAAGGGTGGTGCTAAAGCATTCTTTTATTTCTATCTGCATATTTCTAGTTTTTCTTTCTTGTTTCTTTCACGTAGGCATAGATTATTCCTTCTGTTTGTGATGAAAATATGGGTGTAGGAAGAAAAAATAATCCACAGGAAGTCCAGGGTGACAGGAAATATTACTCAATTAATGGCACTCTGATATTTTAGACCATGAAAATGCTTACAAAATGGTTGCTATGAGGATAAGGCACAACATACATGTTAGGTTAACCAATTCCCACCCACACAGAGGGAAATTAGTGTGGCCCAAAGGCATTTTGGTTACTTTTTGTGAAATATAAATTGGTCATGTAAAGCATATAAATTGCTCTGTGATTTGACAGCTTCCTAAGGAGATTCGTGTTGCTTACTCTTGTTGTAGTTCTGTCCTGGATAAAGATGAACAAGTAATTTGAGGTAAAATTATTTATAGAAAGAAAATTTAACTGTGTAAGTTGGTATACTCCATGGGAACATTCTAGTTTTCTTAGTATTGCCGACTAAGTCTTTGATTACAAGAAAACAAAGTAAGATATATATATTTCTGCCAATTAGGGATCTCTTTGGACCTCCATTTATTCTGGGTCAATTCAACTGCTATAAGGAGACAGCTGTGTCTGATTCCATATTTTGAATGTTGTTTCTGTGTTGTTGGCTGAATAACATCCTTTCCTTAATCTAATATATGGTGTAGATTCTGTTTGAGTGATCTATAGTATCATAACTCCATGAACCCTGCATGTACTTGCCTTCTTGATAGCAGAAGTTGTGCTGTGTCCTTATTCCAGAAAATAGCAACAGATACAGAGAAGGATCTGCACATTTCTCCCTAAAACTAATGTCTAGATGGGAATATATTCAATATTCTTGGCAGGAAGAACAGTGGAAAGAGCTCTTCCAAAGCAGCATGACCTTGAGGAGAGCCAAAAGAAAAGCTGAACAGAAATTCTGTCTGACCCAGGGAACTTTGAGACACACACCTCCTCTGGCAAATTTTAGTTTGGAACAAGGGCTGTTTTCCCCCGTTAAGCAATAAAATGTTACACAATTTATTCAGTACAGCAATCAACCCTTACATCCAGTGTTAATTTTAGGTTTCCCAAATATTGAAAGAACAGCAGGATTTCAACACTGGAGCGCACTGTCTTGTGAAATGTTTGTTTCAGGCTTCAAATGTCCATGTATGTTGTATGTCAGGTCCAAACTCTGAGAAGTCCAAGCTCAGCAGACAGATCATTTGTCAAGGCATGACCATATGAGCTGATGAGAGGTCCTTCTGGAAATACGGAAGACCTTTTGTGATAAAATGTGTTGTGTTAAAATGGATAGAAAAACTTATTCTTTTTCCTGAGCCATTTTTAAAATTATCATGTACTTGACAAAAATCCAGCCTACTCTGTGCTACTGTAATGTATCTGAAATTTATACTCATTTTACTATACAATAAAATCTTTTAGGCTCCAGTCTACTGAAGTGATAAACACAACCTTTTCAGAATTTCACCTTATGGACTTTCACCTGAATCTAACAATGTAATACATTAATGCCATGTGTTTGCAGAATCTCTTTGTCCACCAATGTTCCAGTTTCTTCCAAATTACCACCTTCCAGATTCTGTCCAACCATATTCAGACTGGCAATATAAAAATTTTTCCACCCTGCAACTATTTTTAATCATGTGATTGCTGATAGTAGTATGATTCTGTTTGTCAATGTATATTAATGTTCTAAGCAGACTCTTGTTCTGGTGGCATTTGGTCCATTTTACACCATTTATTTCAACATGCCTTTGTCAGAATCAGTGGAACTAATGTAAAAGCCAGGATTTAGCTTAATCTGTCATCTTTTACTATTTGTTTGTCAAGTTTGGGCTGAAGTCTCTTTAAGCCTTTTGTGCACAAACCTTTGGAGATAACCCAGTCTGACTTGCTCCTTGAATTACTCATTCAGGCTGAAGAGGGTTGACTTTTCACCCACTAACCTTTCACTCACTAAAGCCACTTGCCTTCTGGTGCTTTCCAAATCTAGGAAGTTGAGATGGATTTAGGCTCAAAGTATTTTGAAATTTAAAGAAATGAAATTTTGTTTGGCTAAAACCTCCTCTGGTGACATGGCAAAACTCTGCAAATATTGTCACCCTCAACCTTTGAGTTTATTTGCATGTTATAAGTTGGAGTTTCAGAATTCTTTAATGTTGTAATGAACTAGAAGATACAACATGGCAAACCTGCCAGAAAGTATTCATTCTCCCTGGGTACTTTAGTCAAATGTTAGCTGATGTGCATTTGAATAAACAAAAAATGTTCTTCTGTGAAATGGAAGACAAACAACTTCTAGGCTTCTTGTTTTAGACTTTCAAAAAGGAATTGTACCAAGTCTATTCATTTTGCTCTGGCATGAACTTACCACAGAGAAGGAAAAAAACACAGAATGTAACCCAAAATGTAATATTTGTCCCTTTGAAGGAAAGATATATAATGTAGAGCAAAATTTGGAGAGCTTGGTTTCCAGTAAAAATTGGCGACATAATTTGTCACCCAAATTAATTTAACTTTTCAAGCTTTTAAATCATGTAACACGTTTGAAGTGTCAATCTTTCCTTTGGAAGATGAGATTTAGAATAGCTATAGCATCGCCAATTTTAAAGTAGCGAGCAGTCCTTACAAAGTAAACATTTGCCAAAGAAGAATTGGAAGAAGGTGCTTGGAAATAACAGGGTTAAGGCTCTTAAACCATTAGCCAGGCCTTGTGTTCTGATAAAAATGATAGCTTTTGTTTGGGGCAAGGGGATGTATCTAGGGAAGAAAAGGAAAGGAGATTATAAGTATTTTGAAATAAGGGACACAGTGGCTCAGTGGCTAAGAAACTGAGCTTGTTGATCACAAGGTAGGCAGTTCAGCGGTTTGAATGCCTAGCACTGCATAACAGAGTGAGCTCCTGTTACTTGTCCCAGGTTCTGCCAACCTAGCAGCTCGAAAGCGGTAAAAATGCAAGTAGAAAAATAGGGACTACTTTGGTGGAAGGTAACTGCAGTCCCGTGCACCTTCAGCATTTCGTTATGCCGACCACATGACCATGGAGTCATCTTTGGACAGTGCTGTCTCTTGAGCTAAGAAACAGAGATGAGCACCACCCCTACATGTGCAGGGAAACCTTTACCTATTTTGAAATATATTAATATAAGCATTTAGAAAGCCACATTTTTCTAAAGGATGTCATTTTTGGAGCCAGTCAAATCCTAGATGTGGGGCAAATATTTTAAAATGGAGCAGTAAGAAAGAGGAGGTACAACTCCATGGTTCCATGAGTTGACATGGTTTAATTGATCGAAACTAGACCACATGCATCCTGTTGATCTTGGGGGATAGATAGAGCAGTTGGAAAAATCTCCCTGTAAAATAACCAGGAAAGTGAGAAGTGGAAAAACACAAGATCTCTATATACCTTTACACACATGGAGGGGTGTATAGAAGCCTACTTTGAAAATACATATGCTTATTGATCCAACTGATTAAAATTCAAACTTTCAATCAAGGAATCCTTCCTCTAATGAAAAATTCCATTAAACAGAATGCTAGTTTCTAAAAAATGGAAGTAACATTTAACACTATTTTGCATTATTATATCATTTGTGTTTTAGTTTTGTAGAACACCACACTACTGAGATCCTAAATTTAATGGCATCTTTTATTCCTGTTTCAGTGGCAAATGAAATGCTGCTCATGTGATTCCAGAACCCCTCATGCATACAATAGTCACCGGGTGGAAAATGTTCTCTCTTCTACAGGACACAAGCGGTGGTGGCAATCTCAGAATGGTAAGTCGCTGATTTAGAGTGGAGGAAAAGAAAGAGAAAAGGCTGATGTGGACATGCTGTAAAGTAGAACAATGATTTGAGAGGGACAAGGGTTGTGTGGATTTAGTAAATAGGGCTTGAGTTTTATTAGATTATCTGCAAAAAGGAAATAGATGATCTAGTTTTTATAAAAAGTCCTTAGTTTCATAATCTTCATGGCCCACTGTTCTGATAATTGCTTTTTTTTGTCTCCTCAGATGTGAAACATGTTTCTCTCAAACTAGATTTAAACAATAAATTTCATCTTGCTAGTCTCCTGCTGGACTTTAGGGTATGTGCATAGTTCTTCTGTTTCTTCTTGGGGAAATAAATTTTGATTCAAATGGCCTTTGCAAGCCAGTGACAGTTTTGATCTCAACTGTTAGTTTGTCTGGGTTCTGTGGATCAATCACACAGATGAACTCCTCTCTTTCCTATTTCTTGCTAAGAGTAGAGAGCAAGACTACTGAATTCTGGTTATCTCTTCTTTCCTCTGTCTCTTAAGAGTCCTTTGCCAGGGGGCATGGTGATTGAGCGTTCTACTGATTTTGGCAAAACCTGGAAGATCTATCAGTACTTGGCCACAGACTGTTCTACTACTTTCCCCCGGATTCCCAAGGGCTTACCTCAGAAGTGGCAGGATGTCCATTGCCAGAACATACAGAGTCAACATGGACAACCTCAGAATGGGGGAAAGGTATTGTAAATGCAGTTCTTTTGGGGCTAAGATTACAGGGGATTTATTGATCTCCAAGTTACACTTTCATATGTATGTGTGTATGTACTATATAGGGTCATGGTGGGTCAGTGGCTAAGACACTGAGCTTGTCGATCAGAAAGGTCGGCAGTTTGGCAGTTTGAATCCCTAGTGCCGCGTAACAGAGTGAGATCCCGTTGCTTGTCCCAGCTTCTGCCAACCTAGCAGTTCGAAAGCATGTAAAAATTGAAATAGAAAAATAGGAACCATCTTTGGTGGGAAGGTAGCAGCATTCAATGCACCTTCAGCATTTAGTCATGCCGGCCACATGACCACGGAGACGTCTTCAGACAACACTGGTTCTTTGGCTTTGAAATGGAGATGAGCACTGCCCCCTAGAGTCAGGAACGACTAGCACATATGTGCAAGGGGAACCTTAATATTTACCTTTTTATCTACTGTACACACACACTATGCATCACATTAGTTTACAATACTACATGCACTTACATACTGCTGCATCAAATTCCAGGCAGTTGAGAAGAACCATGCAATTAAAACTGTAACAAAACCACGAGGAATAACTGGTTCACAGTCTTGGGGCAACCATCCAGAAGTATTGCCTCTAGATTTTCAGTTAATTTATTCAGTTTGAAAACAGCCATCAAGCAGGCCTCATTCTTGCCCTATGAAAGGAATTGCTTTTCCTTATCCAGGGGTGTAGTTTTGTTATTCTAGTCAGAGTGAGAAACAACCTAGAACTAAGGAGAAGTTTCCTAAGAGTGAGGGCAATAAACCTATGGAATAGCTTGCCTCCAGAAGTTGTGGGTGCTCCATCACTTGAAGTTTTTTTTAAAAAAAGACTGGACAGCCACTTGTCTGGAATGGTATAAGGTCTCCTACTTGAGCAGAGGGTTGGGCTAGAAGATCTCCAAATCCCTTCCAACTCTATTATTCTATGTTCTATGAATCTTGTGACTGTTTGGAAGCCGCTTTCTGCAAATCGCTCGTGCCATTCATTTTACAAGCCATGCAATTTGCAGAATGAGGCTTCTTATGATAATGAGAATCAGATGCTGGCCTGGAGAACAACTGTGGGATGGCTTGGAGAATGGTGCTTGTTCCTGAGAATTGGGGGAAAAATGGATGAAGATGGATGGGACACAATTTTGCACTGTGCTGGTGGGCTGGGCAGGCAGCTAAGGTATCTCAGGCCATGTCTTTTTTGTCACATTATTGGGCTGGATGGGCAGCTGAGTCTTCCAGGGGTGGCTTTGGTTTGTAGCAGGATCCCAACTTGCAGACAGCCTGTGCTGGAGCTTCAAGCACCTCACTCACCCCTATGAGGCACCTTAATACTCCTTACCTGGGATTCCATCCACATAACGATGTGCAATTCTTCCTCACTGATCACAAGTAGGAATGTCAGAATGTCAGGATTGTGACATCTCACTTAATGACTGTTCATTCAGCAACTAAGATTCCAGTCCCAATTGTGATCATAACTATCTCTTAAGGCAGTGGTTCCCAAACTTGGCAAATTTAAGACTTGTGGACTTCAACTCCCAGAGTTCTCCAGCCAGAAGAGCTAGCTGGAGAATTCTGGGAGTTGAAGTCCACAAGTCTTAAAGTTGCCAAGTTTGGGAACCACTGTCTTAAGGAATAGAAACAAGGGTTTGTAAAGCTAAAATAATGAGTAAGTACAAAACTTTTTAGTTTGTTTAATGGTAAGGGAGATCATTGAATAGGATTGATTGGATAACTGACATTAGCGTATATGACCAATTGCAATCAGTTGCCATTGTTTAGAATTAGAGTTTATCATGACTTGAAGCCATCTCATTAATAACTTTTATAAAAGCAGGATAGTGGAATTCTACCTATGATTTTAATAATTTGTCTGTCTTTTTTTTCTTATAAGATTAAGTTCAACCCTGTAGACCTTGCATCAGGGATGATGACATCTCAAAACCAACGGATTAACAGTGAGTTTGTTTTTTTAAGTTAGTTTGGTTTGATATATGGCAAATGGTGGCTTTGAGATTTATTGGAATATTACAAGAAGCAGAACGCTATGTTGTTGTGTTGAAATTGCTTATGCCTTAACTGTAGTACCTAAGACGAATACAATTTTTCCCCTAACTTCTTAAGATGGGATCACAGTTAGGTGGCAAGGCATCACTTAATATGTATTGAAATAAATATTGTATATAATATTATTGCCTAAAATAAGAGATTAGGTATGATAAAGTCTTGCCTATATTTTTAGAAGTTAACATTTTCTGGGTAAAATTGTTATATTTTGTTTACACATTTGGATAAAAGAATTCCGATGAAGTTATGATTGAAACATGGCAGTACCATGTTTTCAGTTTGGCTTTCTCGTATTTTTGTGTTTCCTGTCCCTCCAACAAATGGGCATTCACAACGACAGCCTGCAGAAGTTTGTGCATTCCTCTGAGACTCTTATGGAGCTAATCAAGCATCCAAGGAAACACTTTCTTTTAATTTTATGGGTAAATAGATTGAATCTGAGTGTAGGAGAGTTAACTAGATTTCCTTTAAGAAGATTTTTCCCTGTAGGAAAACTGGGAAGAGGTATGATGGCTGACAATCTAAGATGGATCTAGATTGTGTTATCTGGTGAATATTTTTATTAGTTTTGATAAACAACGTTTGTGGGTGAATCCCACAAATAGTCTAAGGGGACTGAGCAATGTCCACATTTGTCTAAACAGAAAGAAAGGCCACTGTCAGTCTAAAAGAGAGAATGTTAGCTCTTCCCTTATTTCTAAACAGAGGTAGTTTAGATTTGAGAGGTATGCAGTACATACAAATTAAGCTAATGTCACAACTTGCAAACATTTTCAGTAAACAAAAACAAGTCTTTAAAACGCCTTGAAACACTGTGATTCAATGGCATTGGGGGGGGGGGACAGCTTGGCCCTAGTATATAACAATAAGGGATGGGCTGCCAAAGACACAAGGTGGTTACCAACTGGTATGGAGTCGAATTGTTGTTGACTATGTATCCATCGGCTGTTGGTGATTGGTGGTAGCACAGCAATGATGGATGAAAAAAAAATCTTCAAATTAATTTTGACTCCTTGTGATTGTTTCTTAACAGTTTTCTTGGCAGCTTTTTATAGAAGTGACTTGCTAGCTTCTTCTTCCTAAGACTGAGAATAGTGGCTGGCTTAATATTACTCAGCTGACAGAACTAGAAGTCTTAATCCCTACTCATTTTTGCAATGAATGCGGGTGGTGTTAAAAATAATCCACAGCTAGATACACCACTGTTGCGATTACCAAATTTTTTGGCATATAAGATGCACCGAGATTTTGAAGAGGTAAATTAAAAAAAAAGTTTTTTTCACTCTGCAGACCTCCCAAACCCTCTGCATGCCTCATTTTTTTGTGAAAAACAGGATATGCAGAGAGTTTGAGGCCTGCAAAGTGCTCCTGAGGGGCTGGGGGGGGACAAAAATGAGCAAAAATGCCCTCCCTAGTCCCTAGGAGCACTTTGCAGGCCTCAAACTCTCTGCATAT